AATCTCGGTTTAATATTTTTATCTTGTTCTAGTTTTAAGAATTAGATAAGGATAAAGAGCAAATTAACCCTAATCGGTATTTATTTCGAAATTTTCTTAACTGGTATTCACGAGTCCTGTACTTATAAAATCAACATATCTCTACTTAAAATTAACATAAGTAATTGAACGATTTTTTTTTTCATTTTGAAGGTTCAAATTCGAGGAATATGTAAAGTTATGTAGCTTGAAATTATATAAGGTTGTGAAAAACATTTGTTATAATAATTTTTTATAACACAATTGAAGAAAAAGTCCGGGTCTACTAGACTCGCAAATATCAATTAGGGTTAAACTGAGATGAAAGTTAATCTTCATTGGTAGAAATGTGGACATTATTAGACTGATACGTTCCATGTTGCCTGCAAATCTTCATGCAACCGTCTGAGAATTCGAAGCAAACTGTCAAACTGTCACGCGACTTATGAATCACTAGTTGAAATCCTAGGACTTAAAAGAAAATAACGAGAATTCCATGTATCTTTATGTTGTGATGCGATAATTTTTCGACTGTTTCTTCCAAGAACGTTTCATATTTCCATAATTGTTTGAACAAGAAAAGTCACGATGTTCTTTTTTGATTGGACAGTTCTGTCATTTTTTTTATCGAATTTCTCGGAGCCTCCAAGTATATACAAACGATACTGTGTAATCATTAATCAACATCACACATACAAAATCAATTTTGTCAACCCTGACCTCGCTGACAGCGTCATTTGTGCGACGGGTATCTTACTGATTATATTTATTCTGTTTATGTAAAACGCAGCTTTATCTGCTCGGCGAATTTGCAAAGCTATACGGGAATTGACTCCGACTGTTATAAACCTGTATGTCCATTGTATACAAAATTAATTATTGAACTATTACATATAGATAATATAATATAGATAATAGTTTATAGGATTAAATAGGAGCTTAAGAATGTATCATGTACTATAGTCTCTGCAAAATGTAACTAGAATTGGAAATTTAAATTTTCCGTATAAAAATTAATGATGGGTATACATGAATTAACCGTTCAATATAGTCAATATTTATATTGAGTAATACAATTTTATATTTTAAATGAAAATTTTTTCTCATTTTATCTTAATTATGTTTTTCATCCGGATTCTAAATCAAAATTTTTGTCTTTCATACATAATAAAAAAACTGAATTTTTTAATATTTGTTTCATTTTGTTAACAAATATATTAAAACTAGTCATTAAATTAATCTTATCATAAACTCATATATGGCACTATTCCTTCCTCGACGATCGATCATGATTCATTGAGTCAGATAGAATGATTCAAAATGTTTGCCGGAAGAAGCTAATATGGGAAAGAACTTTTCAATAATTTGCGATAAAAAAGAAAAGCAAAATATTTGGCTAGTTAATAACAACTTAGCTATTTTCTATAATCTTTCAGTAACAAGCGTTCCAAAAATCTCCTTAAAATGTCTTACTAATATACCCTTTGCGTTTCAAATGTTTCATAAAATGATTCAAAAGTGGATCTGTCTACATAAAATCAATACTGATGACTGTATCTTGCATAGAGCGTGTCTCTGAAGTAACAAGTGCCTCTTTTTAGTCTAAACGGCGTGAAAAGCGAAGTTTCAAGCGAAAGAACAAAAGAGGTATTGAATTGTAAAATATTATTGCTACCAGTGAATGGTAGCGAGAGGTAAATAACTAGCAGTAACCAGACCATCGCTATGTCAGTCAGGTGAATCGGTTCCCACAACGCCGTGCCTGGAACCATACGGCTCACGTTGCCTAAGGAAATGACTTTACTTCTTGTTCTCTCCACGCCTCTAAACCAAGTTAGCGACTTTTAAGTCCTTTTACTTTGGGTTTCATTATAGCGAAATTGACTCGGGGTTATCGTTGTTATATCGAAAGCAAGAGTCATCGTTATTACGTTATTCATAGTATTATGTACGTCGTCTTAAATAGAAATAGAAGGAGACGTCGCTGCGTCTGTGAATGAGAGTCTGGCTAAGTTTATGGGTAAGATAGACGCCCTTATCGCGTGCCTCTCCTGAAGGAAAGTAAAAAATGAGGGAAGGGTACCGGCGTATATTGATTTATTTTACTAGCCGTCGTCAAGGAACTGCATTTCAATATTATCGCATGATAAGGCTGCGTTACACACTTTATTGCCGTCATTGTTCAAATCTCCAATTCACGCCCTTACTCAGTGAAAAAAAGGAACGAGTCGACTCGTGACTCTCATTTCCGCCTTCGTTTGTAATGAAAGATGCAAGTTCATCAAAAAGTGAATCCTTCGTGAAGTATCTTTTATTTTACGCAATATTAGAATAGCTGAAATATATAAATAAAATATCTGGTGAAATATTCACTTTCTGAGATGATCTTCCCTTGACTTATAATTAGACTTATTTAAAAATATTTTAATACGTACCTAAAAATATTAGAGTAGCTAGGAGATATGTTAAATATTACTTATTCAATCACCTTGCAGAAGTATATCGTCATAAATAGCGAGAGAAATTGAAATTAGGTCATCTTCAACACAACTCGCATTGACTTTTGAAGATAGATAATTTTCGAAGATAGTTCTGTATATTTCGCGAAATGTTTGCTGTCAGTTAGCTTACTGTCCTTATATTTAATCGTCAATCACGTTCTCGGCGTATTTTCATCTCTAACATGATTTTTTATGCCGAGGCACATGGAGGAATTATCAGTAATAAAACTATCGCCAGACAGCTTTTGCATATCGCATCTTATCAGGAACTTTCCGCTAACTCGTAATTTCCATTCGCTGGTTTCTTTTTTATCATCGCCGGAAAATCGATATTTCAGATCATTTTTATCAGTCCATTTTAATTTTAGATTTTAGATTCTTGAATTAGATATTAATTCGAATATATTGGCTTATGTGACATTATGTTGAATGTAGAAATGCGAAGAATAATGATGCTTTTTTATTGACAGATTTGATCAGTTCGAATTTTTCTGCTAATTCATTTTCAAAATTATTCGCTTGAATTTTTTTTAGCCAGATAAGGTTATTAATTTTCAATTTGCATAACAAGAACTATGGCGTGTATAATAAACAATGTAACATGGTCGTAATCCCGCGCGATCAATTATATATATAAGTCGAATCGAAGGCGACTAAGGGTTAATTTGGCAGCAAAATTGATTGTTCAGTGACGCGCGCGTTGACGCGAATATTTATTTACTTGCAGAAAGAAGCGATTGAGTGAAGTTTCGAAGAAGGAAAGGGAGGAGAGATGAAAAAGAAGAAGAAAGGCAGATAATACCGGCGAACCGACTTCTCTCTTTTCTCTCTCTCTCTCTCTCTTTCTCTTTCTCTCTTTCTCTCTCCACGAACCGGCGACCCCGAGCTGTCAAAGTCCGTCAGCCAGTGTTGCCCCCGGGTCATTTCATGTACAGCGCGAGGCATTATTTACTGCTTCACGCGTACAATCGCGTCGTGAGGAGATTGTAAGTTCCATCAGCCAACCAGCAATTCGTTGGTGAAACGCCCTCGTATACGATGCGTTACGTCGCACTCGTTACTATGAACAAACAATGATTTCAGCGAACGATCGATCTGATCGACGATACGATCACGATGACATACACTAGTCATTGCTCCTTCGTTATAATAGTATATCAGAAAACTTAACAAAAGGATTATCAAAAAAATCAATTTTTTGTTAAAAAATACTCCATACTAAAACTTGCAAAATTTATTATAATAGTTCTGCAAATTTTAGTATAGAGTATTTATCAGTGCGAGTAAATCTTATGGTTTGAAAACATATGACAGTATAAAAAAATAATGGATGTTGCTTACATGAATTTTTAATTTTGATCCTCTACATTTCGATCTTCTTTATATCAATTTTAACTGATTTTTGTTGATTAATATAATTTTAATATAATAATTCAAAATTTTGAATTATCTCGGGAATTTTTACATAGTTACCTTTATAATTTTAATAGATGAATGAGGATAAGAGATATATATGTGTTTGTAGAGTTTATTGCAATACGAATGCAATAAATTGTAGAGAGAGAGAGAGAGAGAGAGAGAGAGAGAGAAATATATTAAAATAATTAAAAAAATTTAAATATATTAAAACACATATATACAATCAATCGACATGAATGCTTTAGCTTATTGAGGAATAACAAAAATATATATTACATGTAATATAATGTTTTTTTAAAAATATTTATTAACGAAAGATTGACAATATGGATTATATTATCAGAAATAATATAGATTATATCTTGAATTTTTTGCAGAATTCTCTTCAAAGCTAAATTTTTGAAATAATTCGAAAATTAGATATGCGATGAATCTATTTCATCAAATGATTCAGACAAACCTATATTGTTCGTTAATCTTTCCGATTAATATATTTCGACATGCTTGATCCCAAGGAACATTCGAAAAGTTTCATCGAGATTAAAGAAAGTAATAAATAATCATTCGTTTTATTGTAAAGCACTGAGATACGTCTCAGCTGCGAGAATCACTAAATCTGATTTAACATAATATAAAAAAATCGAAACGCTTTATAAACTTATCAATATAAATACCTCGTGCTTTTTTCATATAAAAGAGAGAAATGATATCGGAAGGGTTAAGTCACTTCTATCGATTACGCGCTGGTATTTACAAAACATGTACCAAGCAATCGTATATTTGTAAGCGAGTATGCTCTTATTCGGCAAGCAAAGACAACATTGACATCGCCGGTGCCTATTGATCTGAGTATACGATAGTTCATAAATAATCCTATCAGCGATTGTACGAACATCTTTTGCTATTACACATTCGTGAACACACAAAACACACACACAATTTGTGATCAATTTTAATATAATATGGAAATCTTAATTTAATGATGGAAAATCGAAGATTAATCTTCTCTCTAGAATATATCGCTAGTTCACACACTGCACGGATGATAAGCCATCATTTTTAAATATGAAATCTTCTCGCAGTGTGACCTAGCGTCTAAGGCAAGCGATTAGCAGCGATTCGAATTGTAAATTGAATCAAAGAGAAGCCTCTCTGACGATCGCGGATAAAATATAGCAAAGAAGGTAAGATTAGATTTAACCGGCTTCTCGAGGAATCGGCTTCCTTTTCCCCCTTTTCTCGTTATTGTACAGATCGTCGCTGTGCCAATCTGCAGGGAAAGATAGGAACATATTAATCACGCGCAACACAAAAGTCTCCCGTTTAGTACAATCAGTACCGATAGCGTGCAACTTGCCGAGAGCATGTGTTTTTTCATCAGTGATCTCCGATCGCGCTCCTCTTCCATACGTAATTCCCCCAATCGAGAGCAAATGGCAGAGGCTCGAGTGGCAACGCACCGCTGTATTTCTTCTTTTTTTCGCATTTTTCTTTTTCAAGCCGATTGCAAGCCGAACTTGACCTTTGCACCTATTTTTAACTCGATCACTTTCGTTAAAATCCGTGAACAAACCAGCGATTGCTGGTAGTGCGATAGTCTTGTAAACGGTACAGTCCTCCATTCACTCCCTTTTAGACACGAGTCAGGGAGAACGCGCTTTTGCCATCCAAGCAGAACAACAAGTCACGATAACGTCAAAATGACGTCAAAATTAATCGTTACTGATTGAAAAGTGACTCTTAGTATAGTTGGACCCATTTTGATGACTTATGTTTTGCGTGGACAAGTCCTTATTTTCTAATTCTCGAATTGACACAAAATTACCGTTTCTCTTTCCTTTTTTCTTCAGCAAAATAGTATTGCTACATATTTATACGTTACAATCGTTAATTAATACACACATACATATACGCGCTCTCTTTCACATTCTATGCGTAGAATCGTATTTGTTAGTCTCATATTCATTGATATATTACAACGCAAGGTAATGTAACAAAGGAATACGTAGCTCATTGTCGATGAGACTTCGCTGATCAGCCGCGTGTGAAATAGATATCGCGCGCAGATACATTGTTCTCCAATAAATAATATCACACTCTACACAATTACTCACGAAAGAGAAATAAGTACGATCTCCGGGGTTCGTTCGCGGATCTTCTCTTTGGCACATTCGTTTCTTCTCGGAGACGCGATCAACGTTGAGATTCAGATACTAGCTACACTCCAACTTTTGGTTGCATCACGAGTTATAGATCGATTGTGAGTTCTTGATGATCCTCGCGATGTTTGAAGGGCAACTGCATAGGATAGTAGGTGAAACAGAAGAGATCTCGGTACAAGAAAAACTTCCGCTTTAAGGATGAATCCTATTGCACTACCGCCAGGGGTGGGTTATGCTGCGTCCTGATGACCTCTGCGACGCGCCTGAACGGCAATTGGAGGTGATAGTAGGCACAGTAGGGCAACGGGTCCCAGTACACGAAAAGGGATTCCCTCTTGTCCAGCACTGTGCCCAGAAGATGGGGCGCGGTCTCGCTGGTCGATTGTTTGAGGGCATTCACCACGGTATCGGACAGCAGCTGTCGGCTCGACGTACCTTGAAGCAACGTTGAATTCTGTCTGGAGAAGTGTCGGCAGGGTTTCCACACCAGACGCGGATGTATACCTGTGTGACAGATGTAGGGCAGGCTCACGCCCACCCGGCAGCCGATGGACACCAGCTCACCCGTCTCCTCCGACACTGCCAATCGGAAGCTCATGTGGCCGTTGATACTGCCGCCGAAGGAATGGGCGAAAAACTGTTCAAGCCACCTTATAATTTCGGGACGTTCTTCTGGTATGAGGCCCCGATCTTCATCCACTCGGCAGGTCACGTTCGTCACTACCCGTGACTCTTTCAGCGTGGTGCAAGTGATGAAGTGATCTCCACCGGGATCGCGGATTACCACCCACGGCCGCCTCTCGCTGATCTCGTGTTGATTTCGGAACTCTCTGAAGGTGGGTGGTAGCAAGATCTTGGCGTGATCACGCATCCCTGCGGGACCGGCGGTTAGTTTCGTTCATAGAGCGCGGACAGGTCCTGCATTGATCGCAACAGAAAGTGTTGTGGGATCGTAAGACCGAGCATGCGACAGCGTCGAAGTAGCTCCAACGGGTCGTCTAACGCGGTCACCTCGCTGGCATCGGGCACGAAACACTCGCAGCCCATGATCTCTAGATGCGGTTTCGCCAAGGCGTCGTAGTACGCGGTGCTGGCGGCACTCACCGGTATGTAGTAGGCCACTCGCTCCCGCTGGACGATATCCCGCAACGCCTTTATATATTCGGTAACGTTCCTGGGTCCGGGCCGCGGTATCGTGTAGTACTTGGAACAGGCGGTGGAGAATTTGGCTAGACCGAACAGGCCCTCGAGATCACACACTATCACCCGGGCGCCCGCCTTGTAGAAATTACGTGCGAGATGCACCGCTTGCACTGTGCTACCGCCGCTGATCAGCACGCACCGCTTGTTACGTGATCTCTCATAAGCCGGGGTGTGCAGTACGGTGATGAACCATTTGAGAGCGGTCAGCGGTAGTTGCAGAAACACCCAGAACAGGCAGATCCAGGCAGATGCCCAGAAAGCAGGAGCCCAAATCGCGTAGCCAATGACATTGAAGACACTTCGAAATAAACTCAACAGAAGTCCGAAGTACCAAGACAAAATCCTCGAGAAAATGGAATCGTTGCTCCTCTCGACGTTCCGACTATCTGCCGCTAGTATACCCTGTTGATGATGATGTTGCTGTTGTTGTCGTTGCTGCTGTCGTCTCTGAGAGAGTATCACCGTCGACATACTCGAGAGCGATGACGCCCGGGAAAGATTGTTCGGCGCATGGGACGTCGACATGACCACGTTCGACGACGTGCGCTTCAACATGGACACGGGCGACATTCGGGGTGGCGATGTGGACAACGGTGTGCCAGGTAACGGCGGCGACACGCTGCTGCTACGCGACATCGGCGGGCTGGAAGACCATAATGTGGACGAGTTCTCACTCGAGCAGGCGGGCATCTTCGTGTTTTCTGTTTAACGTTTCACCTTCGGAAACCCTGTCCAAAAGGGTTACGAATTGAGGAGCCTAACTGATCGGTAGAAATCCTTATATCCAAGACTCATATCTCAATCTTGGGAAATAACCGTCGGTTATTTCAGCGAGGGAAGAGGAAGATGAGATGTGAGATAGTTCTTCTCGAAGGGTCGATTGTACCCTAATCACGGATAGAAAAAAATTATCTCTCTCTTTTTCAGATGTGGTGATAAAAGCGACTATGAAATGACACAACATACATGAAAATTAGAGCGATGCTGTTGTTGATATCAATCGCGAAGAAGATACTCGGGACTGACTCCCGTCCTTAATTGTCGGTTTGCACACGCAGCTTTAACTGAAGCTGGGCCTCGAGTATCCTGGTCTCTTATGAGGTCTGCATCTCCGACGTACTATGAACCGGAGCCTTATCTAATCGTCGCGCTTCAGACACCGCAACGAAAAGAAAGAAGTCGCAAAATATGTCGTGTCTGCTCTCGCTTTTCTCCCCTCTCTTCCTTTTTTTATTTTTTCCGTTCAAATTAATTACTCGAAGAGGAACGAAGAGGAAAAGAGACGAGGTCGAAAGAAAAACTCTTGGTGAAAAAATCGATTCGTATATCAGTATAAGCAATCTAACCGATTCATATGTCAAGAGGATTTTTGGTATATATCATTATAGTTAGATCACAGCATGTGTAAATGGCGTTATTTTATAGGATTGTGTTGATTGTTCCCTGCTATGAATTTTGGACAATCATACAATCAATAATCTTTATAATATATATTACAAATCTATAATCTCATTAAACTTGTTTTGACGTTACTTTTATGTCAAAACTACTGCATTTTGATTACTTGCACATTGGATTGTTTAATCATGATTGTTATCTTGATAGAATGAAGAATAAAAATGATAAAGTTAATCTGGATTGATGAGACAATAATCAAAATATATTTGCTCTTTTTAACACACAGTTGCATAGGATGTAAAATAATATTTTGAGACGATAACCCGTAATTATTTGTTAAACAAACGCCATCTGTTGAATGAGTAATGTTATAATATTATTTCATAATGTCGTAATATTAATAGTCATATTAGAATCAATTGATATACCTAAAATATATATCGGTATATTACCATTTAATTGAAACGAGATCTGAAAATAGGTTGTTATATTAACTTTTAGAACAAGTTATGTTAATCAAATGAAGAACACGAAGGACAAAAAAATAAATGAGGAATCGAAATGAAATTAATCTGTGCATCGACAAATAATAATTGTCAAATGAAATAAAGATAAAATTTTATTTATTATGTTTTTTAATAAATAAAATGTATAATGTAAAATAAAAAAATATAATAAAATTACTTTCATATATAAATACTTTATAAACATTCATCGTCAACTTGGGAGAGGATATCGTTGCACGTGGCATTCACTTTTGCTACAAAACGAAAAAAAAGACATTCAAGAAATTTTTAGGGATGATGCCTTTCTTTTTGAATACACACAACTTTATTTCGTACATTTAGAATATACTTATCTTGTAAATTATATAATACGTTATGGTCTTATTTGGCTTAATGAAATACAATAATATACTGTCTTTAGAATTTGTTTGTTTTCTCTTTGCTGTTACGGCACTTGAGCCAGTACAAGTATAATCTTGACCACTATTTTCTAAATAAACGAAAGAAGTTATCGATCCTGTAGAGTTTCCGTATTTTATTCGAAATTTTAGTGAGGAGATTACATTCTCGAGGAAAGTCCATCAAAAGGCAAGACATTGAATTGACTTTCTTAATATTAATATACATTCAGCTTTATGTGCTATTCTGTTTATTCGCGTACACTGATCGTTATAATATAAACCAAGAGATTAAGACAAAGCAAATGACAAATTCTTTTTCGATTCAACGAAAAAGTAACAGTCCTTGTATTATAGTAAGAGAAGAAAGTAGTCTTACAATTTAGCACGAAGTACCCGCAACGAAGTTTTACTTTATGACATTCGAAAATTATTATATTTCTCTTATTAGTTAAATAAAGATTTCTTACAACTTTGGCCCATTCAATGTAATTATACTAATCAAAATCTTCTCTTCTACTATACAATATTATATGAATATCAACTAACAGTCGCTCTCTCTTTAACTACATATATTTATATATTTATATATGTATAATGTAATTGGTGTATATATATAATATATATTGTATATATATTATATATATAATATATCATATGTGTGTGTGCGCGCGCACGTAGGGTGTCCCGAACTTAAGTGGCCAAACTTCGGGAGCGTGTAGGGGTTGATAAACTAAAAATAAAAAAAACGTCCTTTCTTAAGGAGATGCTTCGTTTTGGAGAAAATCGTTCGTATAAAATGCAATGCGTGTATTGCTGCAAGAGTTCAACATTTTGAACAATATCTGCATTAAGC